CTGTGTGTGTGCAGTTATTATTCTGTGGCGGGTGGCCATGATGGCTGGGACCCTGTCCTCACAACTCTGTTTCAGACTCCCAGAGCAGTTCTTGGGATCAGATAGTTTATCTGGTTCTAATATGTTCCTGGCCGCCTGCACTCAGTGCACCCCTAAGCAGGGCCTGCCTTCTCCAAGGTTTTCTAGGGCACCTGCCAGGGGAGCCTCAAACCCAGTCTTGTTCCAGCCCGTGCCTAGAGTCCAAGGCAGCTGAGCTGCAGTTAGCGCTCTGATTCTAGGGCCAGGGTAGGGAACTTAAAGCACACAGACTCCCCAGGATTCACTACCAGCTCTTCAGGCCTGAAGCAAGCACCAGCTTCAGAAGCTACATGGCTCGGGGCAGGGAATGGAGAGACGGATCAGCTGCGTGGAGGCAACTACGGAACTTCCGACCTCCGCAGGCAGCTCCCTAGGATGCGAGCACCCCCCCTAATCCCATAAGGGCAAGGAGGGGGGGTAAGACCTTCCGTGATGCCAGGCCAGGGGAGAAGGTCCCCAAAGTTGGATGTGGATGCACGAAGCTCTGTTTTCTTTTCTTTTCTTTTTTTTAGAGAGAGAGAGAGATTTATGCTATAGGGCATGTGTGCTTGCCAGAGGGACAGAAAGCAAGAAATCACCCCCCAAGGGGGGATGGCCACACCATGATTCCCTCTCCTCCACTCTCCTCTCAGGATCTTAGGCACACATGCACACACGCCTGGCATAAGTTTTTAAGCCATGCGGTCCAGGACTCAAACTGTGGTTGACTATATGGGAGTCCAGCTATGTAACCCTTATGCCATTTGCTGGTCCCCCAGGCTCTGTTTCCTAATGCCCCAGAGACGGGATCCCCAGGGACCCAGGATAAACAGTCAGTGACCTCTGAGGTGCTATTTGCGGGGCTGGAGTAGGTGTAGCCGTGGCCAGCAGGGCAGATCTCCCTGAAGGTCTCTGTAAAGCCAATGGCCAGGAGACATGAGAGACACTGCCTCTGCAGGAAACCGGGCCCTCCCTTCCTCCCTCTGGGGAATAAGACAGCTGTAGCAGCAAGGAGGAAAGGACCCTCAGGCTGGGAAAGGACATGAGCAAGGAGGGAACACGAAGACTCTTCTGCTTGAGGGAGGCCTACCCAAGGCCAGGGAACATGGCCACTGCCTTTGAGGAAGCCCTTCGGTGGTCAGAGCTGGGATGGAGAGGGGGGTTACCTGTGCCTGGCAGGGGGCACTTCTCACACTCGCTGCCCCATGCTTTGCCCACACGGCTGCAGCAGCATATCTGCTTGGTGATTCGCTGGGCCAAAGGCAGGGTGCAGGTGCCAGACTCCAGTGACCGGTAACACAGTCCCTGTTGCATGGAGACGGCCTTGTCCGCTGCAACAGACACAGCATGTGGGAATGGGCAGGTGGCCAGCAGGCGAGAAAAGCACAGAAGGGCGCACAGTGTTGGGGGG